CCCGCCCGCATGCGCACTGCGGCCCGCCGGCGCCGCGCTCCAACGGTCCTTCCGCGGTGTAACGGTCGCGCCGCGCTGCAAGGTGGCCGTGGTGGCCGCGAGGAACGTTTCTCGGCTGCGCGTGTCTCGCCTTCTGCGCGTCGCAGCTCGGTGTCCTGTGGCTGGTGGCAGCCAACAAAGGCGGCAGGGGCTGAGCCGCATCCTCGCCGCAGCCTCCCTGCTGACTCGTGTCCTCTCTCTCACCCAAAGTGGAGCCAGCAGGTGTTCTGGACGTGGCGCCGTGGGTGCCGCAGGGGAGGCCGCCTCTGCCCTGGCTAGGCGTTTGGCAGGGCCTGTGGGCAGGACGGTGCTCGAGCGAGTACCTGGCACCTCTGCCCTTGCGAGGCAGCCACCCCTGTTGGGTCCTGACAGAGGGAAGGGCACTTAGATACATGAGATCCAGCCCATTACAGTGAGGTCCAAGTCCCCTCCTGAGGGCACTGAAAATGATGTGCAGTGCAAGATACCTGCTTTTTTTTTTATTTAGTTAACATGGGTATCTAGAGGCTATATTCCCTCTGAGTATTGGTCTCTCTGCTTTATGGTTTTGATTTTATTGCTCTCTGTTATTGACCATTTCTTTTAATCTGTATTAGGGAGCTGAGTTTATTACCTAAATAAAAGTACTTGTGCTCTTTCTTCTTAGGGTCTTGCCTTCTTTCCTTCTTGCCTTCTTGCCTTCTTGCCTTCTCTATTCTTTTCCTATGTTATATAAGATTGGATTCACTGTTTTGTGTTCTTTCTCACGGGGAGATTCATATTCAGCTTCTGTTTTCCCTGATGTCAGAACTTGCCATTATTTCTTGCTCTCCATGGGGTTTCCTACTGAATCATTCCCTCCTCTCTAGACGAAGAATGGGCAGTTTCAGCCCATTTTCCATTTCCAGAAAGGGAGGGAGGAGCAAAATAAAATAAATAAATAAATATATCAGGTTATAAGAATTCTTATGTGATGAAGGAAAAAGCGAGAGTAAAGCCAAGGATTTATGCTCCACCTCTTCAAAATGCCCCTTTATAGGCACTGGTTGCCTTAGACGTGCAGTTTCACGTGCCACAGGCAGTGAACATGGCTGAGAAGGAGAAGAGCTTTGTGGATGAGATAAACAAGGCAATGGCAAAGTCGGAAGGGCTTCCCCTCAAGGACCTGCTGTTCTGCTACCAGGGGACTCCCTACCCCATCACCGTGTGCAGTGCGGAGACCTTCCAAGCTCTGGAGAACTTGGAGGCCAGAAGAGACGATCTGGTGCTGGTGTCTTACCCCAAATGTGGTGAATACCTTACAAATTACTTGCTGTAGTCAAAGATACTGTGTCTCTTCAGCTGACACAATAACAGAAAGAGTAACATTGTATTTATATTTTATATGGGATTATTTGGCATATATCCTATTTTATTGCATTTATTTATTTATTTATTTATTTATTTATTGGTATGGTCTATGTTTCTGAAAGGAGAAGAAGTTTTAGCATGCTGAATACTCTTTGTTGGCTGAAGAAGATGTGTGAGAATAAAGTATACAGTTTTTATATATCAGTGGGACAAGACAGCTCTGTCATTATGATAAAGTGCATTCTTGGAAGGTGTGTTAGTAATAGTGAACACGAGGAATAAAGTTATGCATTAGACTCTTAATGAATGGAAAGTGAAAGGATGCAGCGTCTTTTTTTTTTTGCAAAATTACAAGCTTTTTATTGGCATTTTTTTCAGTATCAAAGTTGTTTTCTGTTTTGTCTAATGTGCCTCTTTTGGTAACTATTAAGTTGCTACAGTTACTGCTACGTCACTGCTGAATTAATGTGATTTAAAACTCTAAATATTTTAGTCTGAAGTCTGCAGAAAGGTGGAGACAGACAGTAGAAGCAGTGGGGTTAAAAATACCCGAACAATCAGTTGGTTTATTTTAATAGAAGTCTTGTGTGATATGGTTGCAGAGCAGTAATGGGTTCTGCTTCAATAGGAATCTACTCCAAGTATTTATTGCTGCTTTGAGACCGAAGCGGTGCCAGCTGAGGGTCTCCAGAGAGAAGGGTTTGTTGCCTACAGAAGACCTTGTGCTGATGTCCTACCCGATGCAGTCCTGTTAGGCTCTAATCAGGGAGTATTAAGGTCTAATTGAGCAAGGTGCAGAGCACAAAGAAAGCCTCCTGATGGCTGAGTTGTGAGCCATAAGGAATATATAGTGTAATCAGAGCTCGGTGTAATTTAAGAAGTGCGCTTGTACTGTCAGGGTGTCAGACCGCTGAACCAGTGGACAGAGAAGACAAACACTAAAGGAGGGAGCTGCCGCACAACGTGAAAGATGCAACTTTACTGCACAGAGCCCATCAGTCTAATGGTCTGGGATCCTTGGTTTTTGCTGGATGCTATGAGGATGGGCCACGGATACAGCTTGGCTTTGGCTTTGACTTCTCATGGAGCTTGGAAGTATTCAGAAATGATAACATGGTCCTAACTGCATCTGAAGTTTAATAATTCAGTAAACTTTTCTAGCTCAGGGGGCATCCGTAGCTTAAAAAAGAGATTTCCAACTTTTAATATTAATCAACTTATTGCAATTGAGCAGTTTTAACAAGGATAAAAAGTCCATTACCAGTTGTTTAGCTGTTATCCAGAGGCATTGGATGTGCAGAAGAGATAGGGAAGCAGGAGGGAGAGAAAATGCTACATCTGTACAGTTCAGAGTAGTTACCATTCGCAGATGTTACTCTTTGGGAATTTTCCCCTGCTTGAGTGTTTGCTGTTATACAAATAAAATGTTAACTAGATTTCTTGTCCTAATATCCTGTAGCTCACAAAACGGAGAAAAAAATAAGGCAAGTGGGGAGGATGAAGATTGAAAAGAGATGATTAGGTACTGCAGATTAGAGACTGCTGGGCTACCTGTTGTTCTTTGGGGTGATGCTCAGACCCAGCAAGACACATAGTCACAAGGCAGCACTGAAGCCGCTTTCTGTGAGCCCCTTTCCTTTACAAACCAATGCAGCTTCACACCTGCCTTCCTCTGCTGGCGTCTCAGATACTTCTCACGCAGGCCTCAAGCTCCCCAGGCACTTGCCTGCTTGAAACATTAGTGAACATGTCCAATGAAGGACTTGCATTGAGGACCTTCAAAAATTTAGTCTCCCAAAGCCTTAATATTTTTTCTAGTTCCTGTTCTTTATGAGGGATTAAGCTGAGTTCCAGTCGAGTCTCACTATATGTATTGTTTCCCCCAACACAGGTGTGCGTAGCGGCGAAGAACACTGGGCAGACACAACCTCAGAGGTGTGGGTGCCGCACAGTGCAGGATGCAGCACTTCTCAGCCATAAGCCACATCACTGAGAAGTCTATAGGGACGAGGAATTTTAGCCTGTGAGGTGTGCAGGGGTCTGAGCCAGCCTTACTGCTCCATTTCTGTGGGCCTGATGGGAACCTTCCAAGCACCTCTCCACAAAGATGCAGGAAGGATGCTGTGGGCCTGGGAATCAGACTCAAAGACGTAGTGTTTTTCCCTGCTGCCTTTATTATCTATCACTCTCGTTTCATGAATATATTAAAAGAATGCTAAGTATATCATCGAGGCAATGTTACTCCCCTGGGCTTTGCTCATACCAATTATAAGTGAGCCAAGAAAGTCACAGTTAAGCTGTTGAAAATGTTCTCGACTGAAAACATTTTGTTTATAGTCATTTGAGAGCTTTGGTAATATACGTAATTTGACAATGTCTATTATGCTGAGTTAAGTCATGTAATGAGAAGCCTTTGAGATCATGTATAAACCTCTCGTGTTTTATTTTGTTCTCTGGGTTTCCTGGTCCAGGTGTGAACTGGCTGATCCAGATTGTAAGTGATTTGATATTTACAAGTACCCAGAGTAAATGTGTAAGCACAGAACTACCCTTCATTGAATGTGGAGATCCAGATAAATACCAGGTTAGTGAAAAGAAACTATTGAATCTCTTACAGTCTGTTGTTTCTTCTCTTCTGCATGCCACACAACAGTTAGGAAAATGAAGTCATGCAGCAAGTAGAGCTATTTCCCCTGAGAGAGGGGAAACGGGATAATCTTGGATGATTAATGCCTTTTGATCAGAGGTTACTTCACACAGGCAGCTCTCACAGATCACTGCTGCACCCATGTAATAAACCTGTTCTCACTCCTTGTTCTGCTTGTTTCTAAAGCGGATGAAGCAGATTCCGTCCCCAAGGATTTTGGCAACCCATCTGAGTTACGATTGCCTCCCTAAGTCTATTTTCAAGAAGAAAGCCAAGGTGGGTGCCTCATGTGTCTGACAGTACCCACATGCAAGAGTAACTTGGGGGCCACAGCCTTTTCCTGCACTTGAGCCACTGATGTGGAGGGAAAGCAGTTTGGAGCCACTGGGAGTCTCATGTTCCTTGAGCTGGCTTAGCACCCACCAGCATTTACAGTGTAGGCATTTAGGGATGCTGTAATTGCCACAAACAAGAACAGATTTGGAGGCTGTTGCAGTCGTTTAGAAATGAATTCAGTGTCGTGCTTTTCTCTTTTATGCCACTTTTTTTTTTATGTGCAACCACATCAGGAATGAATGCAGCAGTGACATCTCCGGGTAACTGACTGTCTCCATGCAAACAGATTGTTAAAACTGGAGCATTTTGCCTATTCTGACATTGTGTCACTGAGCAATGACAGATATATCGTATTTAGGAGGTAACACAAAAGGAAATTGGTTGAAGTGGGGATAATATCCACTTTTTTTAGTATGTTTTGCTGTGTTAGGTGTAACGTATTTTCAGAAGTGTTTATACTTGTCTGGGGATGCAGGCTCTCAGCTTTTCACATACTTTGCTGCCATGTATTGAAAAATAGAAGATAATTAAAACAACTGTGAGAATCAATCAGAATCTTTCCTAGCAGGGGACTGGCAAATGATTCCTTGCAATTTCCACAGCCTTTGGCATCTATGGGATAGGATTCAATGACAAATATTGCAGCTTTTCCTGTTCCTCCTTTCTTTTTTTGTGACATGAGCAAGGTGTTTATAATGGCCATATTATAAATTTGTGCTGCATGCCTTAAAAGAAAGTATTTAAAAAACCCCCAGTAACTTATTGATTGCAAACTATTTGGTTCTGCTCTCATTTTGGTTGCTCGGGGCAATGAGCGATCTAAAATTGTCAACCTCTTTTCTCCCACTCCAGATATTAGTGCTGTTTCGAAACCCTAAAGATACAGCTGTCTCCTTTTTCCATTTCCACAACAATGCGCCAAGCATCCCCAGTTACAGCTCCTGGGATGAGTTCTTCTCAGAGTTCATGAATGGGAAAGGTACTGTTATAGTCACCGAATGTAGCTGAGGAAGCAGCAGTAGGACATATTTAAAAACAACTAAATGGGGCTAATGGGAAAACAGCTGTGTCATTATTAATTTACTGATGACCATACCTCATGACAGAGGTGGCGGCCAGAATAGGGAGAAAGTCCGAAAGATGCTCTGGTTCTGGGCATCTTGTTGTTGTGAACAAGGACTTACACAACAGCTTGATAAAGGCTTTAAGCCAAAATTCTGTCACTTGGTGATGGAGGAAATGCTACAGAATTGAAGAGGTAAAGAAATAACATTTTGTTGTCATTACTGTTTTCTACATATGATGTGGAGCACCTCATAAGCAACCAAAATTTAAGTTCAGACTGGTGTCTTCCTTTGGCTTTTAAGGGCTCTCTTTAGTATCTGTGTAGCAATGGAGGTGTTGCACACAATGAAGTTCATATTTGGAAAGTAGTGTGGAAACTATTTGCCTACAAAAGTCCAATAGATTTCTCCATCATTCGGTTGTGCAGTACAGTAGCACAGGGAGGCAAGGCTGGTCTGTTTGCTTAGGTATAACTGATAGGCGACAGATGTGATTCCTTGAGCAGAGAAAAAATAATGCCCAGTAGTAAAAGAAGATCAGATTGATGCATTTTCTTTTCTTACAGTCAGCTGGGGATCCTATTTTGATCATGCAGTCACCTGGAACAAACATATAGAGGATGAAAATATTATGGTTGTATTATATGAAGACCTGAAGGAGGTAAAACAGGTGGTGTGTGCTGACAGGCAAAACACATCTGAATCCATTTCCTGAAAAGTGCTGAAATTAACAGCAAAAGGTATTTTACAGGTGTTTGAAAGATAGGAGAATCAAGTATCTTTGGCAGCTAGTCAAATCTGGTTCTACAAAGTTGAGCTCTAGTGCATTGTTTGAAATGTATTAGGAGGGAAGATATTGTTAATAGGTGGCGGTTTCTGTGAAACCTTTCACTGTCCTGCTTTCAGAGCCTAACTTCCAGCGTGAAGCAGATAGCTGATTTCCTTGGATTCTCCTCAACAGCTGAGCAGATCCAGTCTATTGCTGACAGGGCCACTTTCCAGGCGGTGAAGGATAAGGCTCAGGAGACGCATGGTCCTGTTGGCTCACTTCTCTTCCGAAAAGGTAAATTTGTTTACGGCAAACAAGCATATTTTGAGAATGTTAGAATTTGGATCAGTAAATGATTGGTCTTCCTGTATAATTTTCAAGATTATAAGTTGTTCAAGAAACACTGATGGTGTTTCAGGGCACTGTCACTTGATTTCACCACACCAGTCATTATCATTTAAGAGAGCCTTGTATAATGCGATCATCAGAAGTTATCCTACCAGTAGTATATGCTTCAGTCATGGTATACAGTAGTACCAGCTAAAGTGAATCAAAGCCTTTTTGTTTGTTTGTTTCTGTGACTACTAGAATAGCCCAGACACGCCACAGCTTGAGCCACGTCTTTTAGCTGTGGATCAAGCTGGAACTCTAGACCTGGGCAACCTCAGACAGCTCCAGAATGTGGATCAAGGCTAGACTGCAACTCAGGACAGTGTCTAGTTGCAGTGCACTAAGCTCTTGCAGTAGAAAGTCCTTTGTGCCTTTGAACTTGCTGGGTTGGTTTCATCACCAACAGTCAGTTTTTACAGTCTTCTGCATGTGTGCCAAAGCTGTCAGGGCAAACCAGCAGCTTTGCATGTTCTCTGTGCTCACGTTCTATTGAAGACACCAAATGAAAAGCAGAAGAGTGTATTCTTGGGTCAAAGGTTCTTTTCTAAAGTGGATTATCTTGAAATACAGTAATAAGGGAGATGAAGATTTTTTTTTTTTTTTTTTTTGCTTTAAGTCATTTGCTCCTTATAATCAAGGATTATATTTTACTTCTCTTTATATTCCAGGTGTTGTTGGGGACTGGCGAAATCTTTTCACTGAAGCTCAGAACCAGGAAATGGATGCCAAATTCAAAGCGTGCTTAGGAGGAACTAAGCTGGGAGCAATGTTAAAATATGATGTGTACTGCAAGGTCTGAATTAGAGTTGCAGAAAAACATCTCATGTCTGGGCTGCTCTTCATTCACTTTTATGAAATCAAAAAGGAATTAGGACGAGTAACCAATGTGAAATATTTGAAATACATTGCAATTTACAGACCTGTCTATTTGATCTTAACTAGCATGATCGATCCTTCTTTATTCAGTTGGTCCTGTTGAATTCACTGGATCCTCTTAGATGAGCTGTGGTTCTTTTGCCTCATTTTTTTTTAAATTTGATTTTTAGCCATGATTCAGTGTTCCGTGGTAGAATCCTGTTTGAAATGGGTATGCGTTATCTGAACTTGCTGAAATCACTGAGTGTGTATTCACTGTGTTAAAATGATTTTTCCAGAGTTGTTTTTAAACAATCATTAAGTGACATTTGATTTTTAATTTGTAAGTGTTTTAGTATTTCAGAATAAAATGAAATCTCAAAATGTTTTATGGTAATTATGTTTTACATATATGTCAACTCGTTTTCTGTGTTTTGGTAAATGGCAGGGAAATGTAAAGGAACTGAGTGGTAGAAATTCTCTCCCCTGTTCACTGATACTATTTTTCTTTCCTTTGGTAATGTGGGATCTCATCCTGAGCACTGAAGGAACTGCCACAGGAGAACTTCCTTACAGAAACTGGACTCCACCTCCTACCTGTGGCCAGCTTTGTTGCTTAACCTCAGCAAAGGCTGAGGGAGGAGTGGGAGAAATCAACAAGGCACGTGGAGGAGGCAGTGCCACTGTCCAGAGCTGAGCTGGAGGTGCCAGGAGGCTGGTGCCAGGAGGCTGGTGTGCACAAGACAGCCAAATGGTCTGATAAAGGGCTGATTTTTAGCCTGTAGTCTTTCTTTGGGAGGTTTGTTGAAAACCATTTTTTGACAGTTCATTATTTTATCACCAGAGGCATTCTTTTATCTGCAAAAAAGAAGGTAAAGGTACCTAGAGAAGGAATATGTGGCTAATGCCAACATAAATGCTAGTATAGCCAGTAGAGGAGGTTACAAGTCTTACTGGTGTCATCTTAAGTTTTGGAAAAATGGAGTAGTTGGTGGAAATGCCTCCGTGGTCATTAAGTGTAATATATCTTTCAGAGTGTGGGTGAGAACCTGTAGGAGTTTTCTTCAGCCAGCCAAAAAGCAGGTGACACTTTCAGGAGGGGAATGTATGAAAAAGCTCTTTTGGTTACATGCTTGTGCATTCGTCACTTATTTTGAAACCCACAGCAAAAAGTGCACACTTGTGTGGTATTACAGTGAAGAGCAGGGAAGGACGGGATGGGAAACGCACAGGGACTGTGATGGGGGAAGAGAAAAATAAGCAGGAGAAACATGAAGTATCCAGCTTGATAGGTCAAGTACAGGCTTTCGGTCAGAGCCACTGACATTTGTGTTCTCCTGCAGTCCTGGGGAAAAGGAGCCCGCGGTCCTTTCTGCGCACGGATGTCCGGAGCGGCTGCTCACAGACTGGCTTGTCTGCAGCACTGCAGACTGCGGACCCCTGAGGCAGAGGTCTCTGGAAGCAGACTTTGCCCCAGGGTCCTCTCTTCCTCCCTTGCTTCCTTCCTCCTTAAAGGTTTAGGAGCTTCTCTCTGAGAAATAATTTTCTTAATCATGGTAAATGGCTTGGCCAAATGAGGCTGCTTTGCTGCAACAGAGTAAAGCACTTAGCTGAACTCTCAGCCTTGCGAAGGTATGAGGCACTTCAAGTATTAACACAGATTGATGCTGTGAGAGAGCCTGCTGTGCCCTTTCTTAAAGCTTAATAAATCACAATAATTTCCCAGTCATTCAGTGCTAATGGGGCTCCCTTTCTAAAAGTCTGCTAGTGACAGAAATGATTAAGACAGTTGTTCACTTCAACACATTGTTAGGAAAGCCTTGTCTTTCTGTAATCAAGTCTCAACAAAATCTTTTTTTGTCTCTTTCCTGGCATATTCCACTGTTAATTTTCTCCTCCTGTTTCAGATATGTTTTCTGTAGTAATGCAAGCTGCATACAGTTCTCTGTCAGAGCAAAAATCATCCTGCTGCTGCTCTTTGATGTCTTATTCCTGTCTCACATTCCTATTTTAAGTACTGGCAGGAGAAAATAAACACAAGACTTCCTTTAGCAAGTAAAAGAAGGAACGGAAAGGTAGGTAATTAAGATCACTTTTATCTTAAAAATACACAATTATGATGGAAAATCCTGCAGCCTTTAGGTTGTCTACCTAAAATACCTGTCTGAAGGACTGTGGAACTCACCATGTGTGAAGAAAAAAATCAGTGGAGAAGCAAAATTGTTTTCAAAACTCAACAGCTGTGATAATTATTTTAGATGAGTAAGCCTGTAAGCAAGGTAGCAGCTAGGTAGAAACTCAAAATAAAATACATAAAACCAAACCACATCAGTTGTGATCCTGAAGTGGGTTATTATCAAATATCTTTAAGTTTCAGGCTAATGGACCTATCTCAGACTCATCTTCTCAATGAGCTTTATGTGGTTGCTGGAGAAAGCAGCTGTGTTCCTTGGATATTTGCCTCAGGTGTAACTGTCCTGCTACAGCAGTAGGCCAGTGTCATTGCTAAGCAATTAATAAAATGTAGTTCGAAAGCCTCTGTTGGGATAATGGTGAAACAGGTGCTCTAATGCCTGTTAATTAGGTGTCTAAATTATTAATAGATCTGTAGCAGCAAGCCTATCCCCTGAAAAAAATCTTCTTTCTCAATTTAGGATTATAATGAAGTATTCCAGGTCAGTTCAAGAAGAGATTCTATCACAAGACTGTCTGGACCCACATCGAACCTCTTCAATATTTACACACCTAACCTATGGGCCAGCAAGGCTATTCAGGCTAGGGTGGTTTAGATAACTGAGGGACTATTTTAAAGGTGATGTTCTTGAATCCTTTTGTCGTATCTGTACATTCCTCCCATTGGATATTCACACGTTCACTAATTACCAGCTAATGATAAGCTCCACAGAATGCTGAGTGGGAGACTGGCAAGTGTGAGTGATGTTTAATTTATTTGCAGCTTTCTGTGTTGTTCTGTTAAAAATCATGCAGCTGGGCAACAGAAAAGAAAGTTAAATAGAGTGTTGAGGTGAATTCCCCGGAGAAAGGGAGATTTTGCACCTTCTGCCAGAGCATTTCAGCACATTTGGGGTGCAATGCTGCCCTGGGGGGTACTTAGGGATGGTGCCTTTGCAGGGGCTAAGTTCAGTAATGTAAAGTGACTGTAGCCATTGACAACAGCTAAACAGAAAAAGTCAGACCCAACAGAAAAATGAAACTCCTTGTGGTGGAAAACTGAGAGTCACATATTCTTTCAGCCAAGCATTTAGAGATAAATTTTGGGTTTATCTTTTATATTCACGTTTCTGCTTTATTTATGTTTTGCTTTCTACACTTTTTTTTTTTTTTTTTGTATTATGGTATTCAGCAGTGAAATTTTAAATAGTATTTATGGAATGTGTCAGATTGTTCAGCTTTCTTCACCCCCTGACCACTTTTTTCTTTTCTTTTTTTCTCTCTATTGCATATCTCTTTCACACTTACCATTTTTCAGCAGTTATAGGTATTTATTATGTCTACAAAAACTCGTAAAAGGTAGTCCATTAGTACTTTTTCACCTCACTTTTGCTTACAAGAGCAGTAACGATCATAAAGTAGAAAAGTATATTGAAGATATATTGAAAAAGAGAAATTGGAGGTTGTCTGGTAAAAGGAAGCATAAATTTATCTTTCATATGTAGGAGATGGCTCCCCTGTGTGTGTTCAGGGTGTCAATAAGACAACCCAAAATGAAGAGAATTCTAGTACCAAATTGCAATAAAGGTAAAATGGGATCAAAGGAGACAGAAATGAACACTTTCTCATTTACAAAACGTAAGCATTTTGTATTGCATCATTATGCTATACATTAATTTGAAAGATAACTAATTTTGAATAATAATGGAATTCGAAGAAAGTACAAGGCATATGTGACATCCACAGGAACAGCAAATGAGGGTAGCTGGCAATTATAATGCAAAATGACTTTATAATGAAGGAGGACATGAAATACAGTCTTACCAATCTTACTGTAATATCAAATACCTAGTCTTGTACTCTAATGTTGCTTCTTTGGGAAGAATACTATCACTTTGATCAGAATTTTGGCTAAAAGTTCACTTATAGTGGTGATTTGTACCTTTTGCTCCACTCTTAATACACCACAGAGCTTGGCTTCATACACTGAAGGGGCTGAAATAAGCCTGGTGACTGATTGTTTTGAATGTTAATAGTGTCAGGATTGATACAAAGAACAGAAATAGACAACAACGCAAGGAATGAAAGCATTTTCATTCAATAACAGATTTGAGTGCATAGCTGAAGCATTCTGATAGAACGCTATTTACATACAGATATTTATGGTTAAAGGACACAACTGCTGTTAATAAAGGACACAATTGCTGTTAATTGCCATCATACTTTGTAGTACTTGTGGATCAAGTAATGGCCCCCCAAATAAGCACATGTTTAGGACTGACACTGCTTAGATTGTGGCCTGTTCGTTCAGTCATTCAGAACCTGTTTGCTTCTAACAAGTGGGAAAGGGCCTTGACGGGTGCTGGGATTGCGGACCAGCTGGAGCACCATTTGGTCTGAGACTGGGCGGGGGGGGGGGGGGGGGGGAAGTAGTGCAACAAATTACCATCAGCTGGTGTTGCTGCCTGGGGAGAGGCCAAGAAACCTCCCTAGCTCTTCTGTTCCTTGCCACAATTTCAAGATCAGCTCTTTTGTGTCTGAGGTAAATAACATGGTGGATAATAAGGTGACCACAGGACCTCTGCCCCTCTCTCCTCCCCTTGCAAAGCTGTTCAAGCGCTGGAAGAAGGGCATGGCAGGGACATTGGTGGCTGAGGTAAGGACCTGCTCATCTTATGTGTTTGGCCTTCTTGTGACATGTACTTCAGACTACCAGCTTTGCAGTGAAGTGAGGGACAACTGGCACCAGGAATTGCCTGGGCACAAGATTTTTGGTCCTTCCACCGAGCCCCATGAAAATGTAACCAGGAGAAATGTGTAGGAGCTGTGCCTAGTCTTACAAATACTCCAGTTTGTATCTGAACAGAAAGTTTTTCATTAGAGCATTTGACTTCTGAAGAACTGTAGAAGCTTGAGATGTTGGAAGATAGGAAATTATTCTTTGATTTTGCCCAAAATATGAGGCAGTCAGGAAATGAAAAGAGTTTGTGAAATTGGTATCTTGGGAAGCTTGAGCTTTTATGAGCGATATGAGCATATTGACATGTATTTGTTGGTCCCTAGTCAGCTCCTTGTGGTTTTGAGTTTTACAAGCCAGTAAAGTTGCTTTCATTACTAG